CGAGGGCTTAACGCTATCACCACCAAGAACAAGTACCCGCTACCCCTTCTAGACGAGTTTTTTGATCGTTTTCAAGGCGCCAAATATTTCAGCAAGATGGATCTACAGCAAGGTTACCATCAGCTCCGGATCGCCGAACCTGACATCCCCAAGACAGCGTTCTCCACTCGATACGGCCATTTCGAGTACCGCGTCATGTCCTTTGGTTTAACCAACGCCCCGGCCTCTTTTCAAGGCCTCATGAACGACATCTTCCGCGATCACCTGGACAAGTACATCGTCGTATTTCTCGATGACATTCTCGTCTTCTCCAAGACTTTTGAAGACCACCTCGAGCACATCCGTATTGCCCTCGACCTCCTTCGACAGCATAAGCTGCACGCCAAGAGGAGCAAGTGCGAGTTCGGCACTTCCTCCATTACCTTTGTTGGTCATGTTATATCCAGTCAAGGCATTCAAGTCGACCCTGCCAAGACCAAGGCCCTCGACAACTGGCCGATACCCAAGAACGTCCAGCAGCTGAGATCGTTTATTGGCTTCATCAACTACTACCGCCGCTTTGTGTATCACTTGGTCCAAGTCGCCGGTCCCCTCTTCAAGCTATTAAAAGATGGACCCGACCACAACAAGTTTAAGACTCGACCGCTTGCCTCGTGGGGCCCAGTCGAGCAAGCCGCCTTCGATGGAGTCCGTCTCGTATTGACGACCCCCCCGACCTTACTTTGCGGAGATCCAGATAAGCCATACACCATGGAGACTGATGCATCTGACGACGCAACCGGTGGAGTGCTGTATCAAGAAGTAAACGGCAAGAGACATCCAGTCGCCTACGAATCCCGCAAGCTTAAAGCTGCTGAACGAAACTATCCGGTCCACGAGAGAGAGATGTTGGCGATCGTACATGCCTGTAGAGCCTGGCGATCGTATGTGCTGGGAGCACCCGAGAACGTCGTCTTTACGGATCACGCCAGCCTGAGGTTCATCTTTTCTCAGCCTCATCTCAGCCAGAGATTAACTCGATGGGTCGAGTTCCTGGCCCCTTATAACCTCTCCATCCAGTACAAGCCCGGCAAAACCAATGTCGCCGCCGATGCCTTATCCCGTCTCGAGATCAACAATGTCCACCAAGTTCGACACATCGACACCTGGGACTGGCCTCTCCTTGTTCCTGAATTTTTATTGTCAGGCACTTTTCCTCCTGACACCGACCCTGCCATCAAGAAGCTTGTACGCCATCAAGCTCTTCTCTTCGTCATTGAAGAAGGTGAATTGTTCCGCTTAGTTGAAGAAGCCTCAGTTCCCTTCGTGCCCTATGTCGAGCGCTTGGATCGCCTTTCAGAGTTGCACGCCGATCTGGGTCATCTTGGACAGTCTGGCACCTACAACTTGGCCAAGACGCGCATGTGGTGGCCAACCCTCCGCTCCGATATCAAGATGTTGACTCGAGAATGTCAACCCTGCCAGCTCGTGAAGCCTGGAAGCCGATCTGTGGCTCCTCTCCACCCCTTGGCTCCGGCGCGCCCTTTTGAACGATGGGGAATCGATTTCATAGGACGCATGCCGCTCACCAAGCAAGGCAATCGATGGATCGTCACTGCCATCGACTACGCAACCAACTGGCCAATTGCTCGCGCCCTTCCCGATGCCACTGCCGAAGCAGTCGCCATTTTCCTGTATGAGGAAATCTTCCTTCAGTTTGGTTGTCCCTCCGAGATTGTTAGCGACCGAGGCGCCAACTTTATGTCTGACGTTCTGCAGCGCTATCTCCAGAAGCTGAACATCAAGCACATGGCTACCTCCGCCTACCACCCCCGATCCAATGGCAAATGCGAGCGCCTTAATGGTGTTATCGGACATATGCTCAACAAGTATGTCGGTACTCATCGCGTCCGCTGGGACCAGTACCTGCACCAGTCCCTCTTTGCTTGTCGTGTGCACATCTCACAGCGCACTCAGCTCTCCCCCTTCAAGTTGGTATACGGTATTGAACCGCGTATCCCTCAAGACCCCGTCCGTCCCTTTCTGTTTGATTTCTCCGATCCGAGCGATTTTTTGGAACATCGCAGAAAGACGTTTAAGGAGATTGACGAACTCCGAGAAGCCCACCTTCAGACGCAGCAAGATGCAGCGTCATCCATGGTCAAAGCACACGCAGAGTCGCACGTCGTCGAGGATGCGAAGTTCGCAGTCGGTGATTTCGTCTTCGTCAAGAATTATGGTCGCAAGAAGCTGCAACCCCACTGGTATGGTCCCCTAGAAGTGGTTCGCGTTACGCCACTGTCCACCTATCAGCTCCGTTGGGGAGATGGTACGCCCAAGGAGGATTTGGTGCACCAAGACCGTCTGAAGATCGCAACAGCCCCTAGCGATGAGGCTCAGCGAAAAGTGTGGTTTGCCAGGACCAAACACACTATGGAGGCCGCCCGCGACAACGATGATGATGGGCTGCCTGACGATTTCCTCTCGGATACCGAAAGCCGTCGCGTAGCCGACATGCGCACGCAGCAGCGCGCCACCGAAGAGTATCACATCCGCCGCGGTCCCGACTATCAAGCGCCCATGATGGGATCCGCCGCTGACGCAGCACGAGTTTACAGAGAAGAACTGACAAGAGTTCCTCCCACTCGCCGCTTCCGTCGTAACCAGCAGCTGCAAATGATGCAGCTCCCCCCTCAACAGTCGTCTTCTCCGAGCGTCCCCGCCTACTGCCTCCACGAATGCACCGCACTAGCTTAGTCGCCGGGACGGCTCCAATTTAAGTTGGGGAGTGTCGTGAATTGCCACCCCTATATTCACCACTTTCCCTTTTTTTCTTCTTTCCCACTACTTTCCTTCCTTTCCCTTCTTTTTTGCTCTCTTTGTTTGCGTTTTCCCTTTTACCCGCAAACGCGACTCCTACCTCTTTTACACTTTCGTTTACACCTTTCCCCTTTGTTGATGACAACTATCGTCGCCCCGCTCGCTCTCAACACCCAGTGACACAAGGAGCCATCGCCCCGAGTCACTTTTATTATTTCCTCTTCTTGTCTTTTATGTTGTTCATCCCTTTGACAAAGACCCTCTTTGTCAAAGGCCCTTTCTTTGTTGTTGATGGCCCCTTCCTACTTCCTTTCGTTGTTCATCAAGTTGTTAACTCTTACACCAGTTAGTAGTAGCTCCCCCGGGCCATCTCTTTTTTTACGTCTTCATCTTATTCTCTTTCATTCAGTGACCCCACAAGTAGTAGTTTAGCGACCTTAGTCAGATAGTATAAAAGGACACCTGGAATGGATGATTGAACAGTATCTTCCCCCCACTGTTAATCATACCATTCTAGGTAAGTTCCTCTCCCCCTCCCCTGTCAACGGCTGTTCTCGTTGTCCGAACAGCCACTAAATAAACATCTTCCCCCCACTGTTAATCATACCATTCTAGGTTGAGAACCTCGAACCCGTTGTCCCCTTTTTGCGCCGAAGATCCGCATTCATTCCCCTGTCGTCCCTGAGCGTGATCTAGTTGAGATCACTTCCTCTTCCTCTTCCTCTTCCTCCACTTCTTTGCCAGTCTAGTTGAGACTGCGTGGTATCTCCTGCAGACGTTGCTCGAGGCACCCACAGAAATGTCGTGAATTGCCACCCCTATATTCACCACTTTCCCTTTTTTCTTCTTTCCCACTACTTTCCTTCCTTTCCCTTCTTTTTTGCTCTCTTTGTTTGCGTTTTCCCTTTTACTTTTCTTTGATCTTTCTTTCCCAATTCCCATTTTTCGTCTCCAAGAACAGTCACGCCTTCCTCCATCCACACGTCGGGGCTATCCATCCATCCAACCATTAAACCGACAAGGCCCTTGAGCAGGACCACCGTTGGCGTCAGTGTTGCCAAGGCGCCTACCACCCCGGGTCAGCGACATGCAAGGAGAGCTTGGAAGTTTCAAGGCGGGTGTTATGAGGTCGGCAGGTCGGTCCCTGGAGCGAGATGAGAGAGAGATGGTCCCCCATCGCCGCACGGAATGTCAGTCGAATGGAGTTGGTCGTCTGCCTTTCCATCCTCTTTGCGAGAGGTCCTTGGTCCCACCCACAAGGAGATACGCTACGGATTTGACGGATTCAAGACCCGGCCCCCCTGTCCAGGTCGGTGCGAGGGTTGACTTCCCTTGCGAAGCACGGAAGTGCATGGATGGATCTTTGCTCATGAGGTGCCATGTTGGAACTACTTGGTGATATGAGTATTCGCGCAGTCTCTATGAGTTCTGCCTTAAGCGTCTTAGAGCACCGCTGTCAGTCCCTCACAGTATAAAAAGAACCCCAGGCCTGGATGGCTAACGTTCCAACCTTTCTGCCTTGAAGGTGTGTGGGAAACGAGGAGCGAAACTTTTGTTTTTTTCCCACACAAGTGCGCAAGCACAATGGCAACCCCCCCTCTTTTCGCGCTAGTCTCCCCTGTCCAGGAGGCGCGTGACAACCATTTTTATTTTTTTGGGTTGTTGCGTTGCACACATGTGCATGGATGGAGGTGACGTCGAACACTTGAAAAACGGCACTGGGAAGAAAGTACTTTTGCTATCTCCTGGTTGTTCAGATGAAGGTGTTTTAGTTGAGAGTAATAACTGGATAGATCGCTTTTGTATTTTCTTCCGTTTTTGTCGTGAAGAGCGACAACGATTGTTGCGCAGAGCCAGCGTTATTAGAACCGGACTGTGACTAAGGGATGGTGTACTGGGAAGGGGTCCTCACAAATAGCCCTTTTATTTTTGGATTACCTACATGAATTGTTCTTTAGAGAAATAAAATCGTGGACAAAAAAAAAAAAAAAAATTTTACTTTTCTTTCCTTTACACCACAAAAGTGCTGTCTGCTCCAAAACAGTTATTCGCATTTTTACCCCTATTCCTCAAGTATCCATCCCGGCTGCTTGAGTATTTCCAATCCCCCTTACTTTTTTGCTTCTAAATATCAAATTTTTTATTCACTCTCATATCAACTTTCCAAAAAAAACCCAACTTAAACAAAAAATACACCCAAAATGCCTCCCAAACGCGGCCCTGAGCCGTACCACCCTGACCCCAAAGAGGAAGGGAGCATGGACGGTGTCGAGGTGGCATCCCCAATACTCTCGACTCAGGCCTTCGACACCTCAGTGGTTGCTCTCCAGGCCGGGATTGAGCCAGAGTTCGTCCTGGTCTCCCGTTCAAAGGCTACCCACTGGCTTAAATTCCCCATCTCTTGCTTCGACAAAGATACTTCCATGCCATTCATGTCTGATTGGGCTGTCGGCACCCTTCAGAAGATAGCCAGCATCAAGCCCAAGTCCTTCGCCATAGTAACGCTCTCCATTGATGCCAAGCCCAAGGAGTCCACCGAAAACAGCACCGGGAAATCCACGGCTACCAGCACCAAGGAGCAGTACCTCATCTTCCAGGTTTATACAACCCATGAGGCCGAAGCCGCATGTGAGCACGGAAGCAAGAACGAGAATGGCCACGTCACACATTTTGCAATGTACACCCCCGAGGCCCAGGCCTTGCACCAGGGACGGATTCTCCATATCATCTCCCTGTCGTACGACACAACCGAGGACCATATTAGAGCAGCTGCAACATATTAGGTTTATCATTGCTCTCTAGTTAGTCATTCCTTGTCACTCTCTATCATCTCTGACTCACTATGACACTACACCTAGAAACCTAGTTGGCGACTTTGTATATATATTTAGTTGTACCATAGTAATAACATCAATCATCACTGCTTCAACTCTCGTCCCCGTTCTATACTTCTCTGTCCCAGTCTTCGCCTGTTGCATGGTAGCAAAGGTTCCCTCGTTCCACTGACCTCTTGATTTTTCCCTCCTCGTTTTCACTGCCCGCGTTTTACTTTAATTTTCCCTCGTCCCAGCTCTCTCTGCACACCAGCCCTGAATTTCATTCCCTGCCCCTATTTTCCTTCGTACCCTCTTACACTCTGGACATTTTTGACCTCTCCGCACTTCTCTCTGCACTACCAGTCATGGTTACCCCTGCCCGCCTTAACCCCCCTCCTGTCTTTACAGGCGCCCGCGACGGTTTCTCTGCCTTGGCCTGGCTCGTTGCGGTTAACCGCTACTTCAACCTTGCTAAGATAAGTGAGACTGAACGAACACCCCACGCTCTCTCGTACTTGGGCACGCCTGGCCCTGCCCGATGGTTTGATGGATGTGGGCTCCCTGATACTTGCAACTTCGAGACCGAGTTTACTCCTGCTGCAACATATTAGGTTTATCATTGCTCTCTAGTTAGTCATTCCTTGTCACTCTCTATCATCTCTGACTCACTATGACACTACACCTAGAAACCTAGTTGGCGACTTTGTATATATATTTAGTTGTACCATAGTAATAACATCAATCATCACTGCTTCAACTCTCGTCCCCGTTCTATACTTCTCTGTCCCAGTCTTCGCCTGTTGCATGGTAGCAAAGGTTCCCTCGTTCCACTGACCTCTTGATTTTTCCCTCCTCGTTTTCACTGCCCGCGTTTTACTTTAATTTTCCCTCGTCCCAGCTCTCTCTGCACACCAGCCCTGAATTTCATTCCCTGCCCCTATTTTCCTTCGTACCCTCTTACACTCTGGACATTTTTGACCTCTCCGCACTTCTCTCTGCACTACCAGTCATGGTTACCCCTGCCCGCCTTAACCCCCCTCCTGTCTTTACAGGCGCCCGCGACGGTTTCTCTGCCTTGGCCTGGCTCGTTGCGGTTAACCGCTACTTCAACCTTGCTAAGATAAGTGAGACTGAACGAACACCCCACGCTCTCTCGTACTTGGGCACGCCTGGCCCTGCCCGATGGTTTGATGGATGTGGGCTCCCTGATACTTGCAACTTCGAGACCGAGTTTACTCCTGCTTTTAAGCTAGAGTACATTCCCAACAACTTTGCGGGCTCCTGTCGACGACACCTCACCAATCTTCGCATGACCACCAACTTTTCGACCTACTTATCTACATTCAAGGAACTTTTGGGCGCCCTTCTTGGTTATGCCTCCACCGACGCTGCCAAGACCACGGTCAACGAGTTCGCCCAAACATCCTTTATCGACAACTGCCCCTTGGTTCTTCAACAGATGATCGAAGGACACATTATTCAAAACCCCAATATCACCCTCATTCAGATCTTTCAATACGCCCAAGAGATGGACCGCATTTACTCCTTCAAACCCGACACCGGCCCCAAGACCAACTCGCTCGCCATCGCCTCCGCCCCCATCATTTCTTCCTTCACCTCTTCCTCCGCTCTCTCTCAAGCCACCCCCATGGAAATCGACAACATCCAGATCGCCCTCAACAATATCACCCAACGATTTAATCGCCTAGAGAGAAACATGGGTCATAACAATAACTACAACCGCAACAACAATAACAACAACGGCCCCCGAAACAACAACAACGGTAATCCCCCTTCCCTGACCCCTCAGGAACGCGAATGGTGTAAAAACAACAATGCTTGCCGTCGCTGTCGCCAACCTGGACATTATGCAAAGGAGTGCCCCATCTACGGCGACAACAACAATACCAACCGTGGCAACAACAACAACCGCCAAGGACGATGGGTTTATCAAGTAGCCGTGGGTGATTCCCCCGAGTCGGGAAAAGCCTCCGACGATCAGGCTTAGTCCAGGACTTGATCGTCGACGTTCCCTCCCTTTCTCCTCTGGACAAAGGGAGTGTTTCCTTACCAGAGTTAAGTTACAGTTCCAAGAATAAAAATTCTGCTATCAAAAACACTCCCCCCTCTGTATCCATTATTCGCACTACCACATCCGCACCTCGTAGCCTACACAAACTCTCCTTCTCTCCTCCTCCACTCTCCCTTTTTCCCTCATCCATCCCTGCCTCGCCTCGTACTCCCTCCTCAATTGCCATCGACTCGACCACCACTGCCCCCAACACTCACTCCACCACGGTACCCTTTGACGATGAGTTACAACTCACCGACGACGTATCTGATACCTCGCCTGTTGGTCTTAGCCCATCAGAAGAAGTGGACCTGGACCCACTCTCCTCTCCTGCTGCTTTAGACCAACCCATGTCCAAGCGCAGGACCAAACGCTTGCGACACAAATCCGTCCGTCTGCACGCTTTCACGGCTGAGAAAGCCTCCCGTACACTCTTGTCGTTTATTGGTAATGTGGCTGGTGCCCCTGCGCGTATTTTAATCGATTGCGGTGCGGAAGGGAACGTCATCAGTTCTTCTTTTTGCAAACAACACTCCCTCACTCGCACTCCTGGCCCCTCCATCCCCATCATCCTTCCAAACGGTTCCTCTTCCATTTCATCATCCACCTCCACCTTTACCATCGACCGCGACCACTACTCCGACAAACTGGAAGCACTCATTTACCCCCTCTCCAACTACGACCTCATCCTTGGAAAACCCTGGCTAACGACCATCAACCCTTTCATCAACTGGCGAAACAACGACCTTCACTTCACCCACAATGGACACACTGTTCTCTGGCGCTGTCGTGGTGCCAACGCCAACTCCATCTCCGCTCGCACACAAGGGAAACTCCTCTCTCACCTTCACTTTCACTCCCTTGCTACCCAACCTGGAAACGCTGTCTACCTCGCCCTCGTCAACATCGCTAAAAAGACCAACGACAACAACAGTAATGACAACAAACCGACCTCCCCTCCACTCTCACCCGACATTCACAACATCGTCCACAACGAGTTCCCCGACGTTTTCCCTTCCTCCCTCCCCTCTGGCCTTCCCCCTGACAGAGGCGATGCAATGAAGATCGAAACTGATCCGAGCGCTGATCCCCCCTTTCGCCCTGTTATACGTCTCTCGATTGCTGAATTGGATGAACTAAGGAAGCAACTCGACGACCTACTTGGCAAAGGCTTTATCAAACCCTCTACCTCCCCTTATGGTGCCCCTGTATTGTTTGTGAAAAAGAAGGATGGTTCCTTGCGTATGTGTGTTGATTACAGAGGGTTAAACCGGATTACAAAAAAGAACAGACACCCCCTTCCCCGCATTGATGAACTTATCGACCGTTTCCGCGGGGCACGCTACTTTACCAAACTTGACCTCCTCTCCGGTTACCATCAGCAACGTATAGCAGAAGAGGACACACACAAGACAGCCTTCCGTTGCCGCTACGGCCATTTCGAATTTAATGTGGTCCCTTTCGGGTTAACGAATGCACCGGCGTCCTTCTCCAATATGATGCTACGAGTATTAGACCCTGTTCTCGACAAGTGGGTTGTTGTTTACCTCGACGACATTCTTATCTACTCGCGCACCGAGGCCGAACATCTACAACATCTCCGATCCGTCCTCACGCTCCTCCGCAAGTACGGTCTCTACGCCAAGTTGAGCAAGTGCTCCTTTATGCAGAAAGAGACCGAGTTCCTCGGCCACGTCATCTCCAAGGACGGTATCCATACGAGCGGCGGTCTCGTTCGTGCCATCCGTGAATGGCCCCGTCCCCAGAAGCAGAAAGATGTTCAGCAGTTTGTTGGTCTTGCACAGTTCTATCATCAGTACATCGCTAACTTTGCCTCGATCGCCCTACCGTTGACCGCTCTCTTAGGTGAAGGCGTTCCTTTCTCTTGGTCTCAGGAGCAGGAAGTAGCGTTTACGACTCTGAAGGAGGCCATCAGTAAAGCACCTGTTCTACGTATCTTCGACCCCGACCTTCTAACAACCGTCGAAACCGATGCCTCCGGCTTTGCTCTCGGTGCCGTTCTCTTTCAGACCGATGAGCATGGCGAGTCGCGCCCCGTCGCCTTCACCTCCCGCAAGCTGAACTCTGCCGAACGCAACTACCCAACACACGAACAGGAACTGTTGGCTGTTGTACATGCATTGAAGACATGGCGCTACTATCTGGACGGATCCCACTTCATCGTATACACCGACCATGCCACCCTCCAACACTTCCCCACTCAACCCAAACTCACCCGCCGTCAGGCCCGCTGGATGGAACTGTTGCAGGAATACAACTTCACCTTCAAGTACAAGAAAGGAGCCGACAACATTGTCCCAGATGCCCTGTCTCGCCGACCGGACCATAGAGAGATTAACACACTCTCAGTACAGCTCGACCCCAGGCTCCGGCAGCGCCTGATGGATGGTTACAAAGAGGATCACCGCCTCAAACCGATCTATGAAAGCTGCCTCCAGGGAAGTCCACCGTCTAATTACTCTCTTGTTGATGGTGTTCTTTGCATTCAACGTAATGATCTTTTACTTGTTTGTATCCCCTCGAACTCTGACCTTCGGCTTTCTCTTCTTCACGATGCACACGACTCCGCTATAGCTGGTCACTTCGGTTTCGAGAAGACGTACGGTCATCTCCACTCGCGGTTCTTCTGGCCATCTATGGCGAAGGACACCCGGCTGTATGTGCAGACCTGTGAGTCGTGCCAAAGGACTAAGCCCAGCAACCAACCACCTGCTGGCCTCCTCCAGCCCCTACCCATTCCCGATCGACCCTGGCAAACGGTGACAATGGACTTTGTCGGCCCCCTACCCAAGACCCCACGCGGCTTTGACTCCATTACGGTCTTTGTTGACAAACTCACAAAGCAAGTGCACTTTGCCCCCTGCCACACCACCGA